TATTCCAAACATTTTATTTGACATTGGTAGTGGCGTGATCATTGATTTATAACTCTATACAAATATAATGACAAATAAACAAAAAAGAAGACAGATGTATGTACGACTTAACTGCATGTCAGACAGAGAGACAGACAGACAGACAAACAGACAGACCGAAACACTGACACAGACATACAGTGTATAGGGCTATAATAATATAAATGGCCTGTGAAGTTACATGACTCTATACATTTATGTGATTAACCAGACAAACAGACATATAGAAAGATTATCTTTGGAAGTACTTGTATGATAGGCAAACGACCGTCTCAATTCAGACCTCATTACATGTAAATAAGTTCTGATTCTCATCTTTCTCACACAGGAAAAACTTCAATGAGCGAGACTCTTCACCCTGCTTCAACAAGTGTACGTAAGAAGCGCCGTTCAAGAGTCATTGATTGGCTGAGCAGTTAGGGTCAAAGTTTAGAGGTCAGGAGCAAAGGGCGAAAAAAGTAAAAACCATTTTCAAAAGCAAAGTCATTTTCAAAAGTAAAATGTAATTTTAAATTCATTTTGAAAAATAGAAGTATTTTTTCATGTGCAAATTCATTTTCATTTTGAAAAATAAAAGTAAATTTTCAAATGGAAATTCATTTTCAAAAATAAAAGTAAATTTTTAAATGCAAATTCATTTTCGAAAATAAAAGTAAATTTTCAAATGCAAATTCATTTTCGAAAATAAAAGTAAATTTGCAAATGCAAATTCATTTTCGAAAATAAAAGTAAATTTGCAAATGCAAATTCATTTTCGAAAATAAAAGTAAATTTGCAAATGCAAATCGTAAGATGCGCACGAATCTTTCAATCTATCCTCGGGGGCGGATATCCGGGTATTTTCTACCGCCTGGCAACCCTCGCGGTGAAAACAAAGACCAAAAAACTCGCAGAAAACGGTACTTTGCGATGGTTGATGAGAGTCCCCTGAACAGTGTTACAAGATTAGCCCTACGTGTGTAACATATATGAATTTGGTTGTTCAGGATTACTTCAAAGTTGAGTTTGTGTTGTTTTCTCGAGTTTTCACCGGCTCCACCAGCGTTCCACAGCAGCGCGCACAAAGCCCATAAAAATACGTGGTACAGTGGTGCGCGTCTTAGCAACGTAGAACGTCCGTGACGTAGCTCCGCCCCCGAGGATAGAGTAATCCGACGAGCGCTTCTCGAAAGTACGCCCTCATACGCCGCCGCCATTACTGGGGGGCATATACCACTCACAGTCATGGCGTCTCATAACAAATTACGTAAAAATAATAATATTTATTAATTACATGCAAACTCGTACTATTGTCACCACTACAAACTCACCTACAAACATTTAATACGTATTTCCAACGATTATTTCCATGGATATTTGGAAAGATGATGTTAGAGACTGGCTAACATGTGGGGCCGAATGATCAATGGAAGGAGGTCAACCTAGAGGACTGTACTCGAGGCTAGAGACTGGCCAAAGCTGGAAATTCTGACTTTGTGTAGAAATTGTTGTACAACATGATTTTGTTTCGTTTGTGTGCGTCCAAGTCGTTTTTTGCACGTACATAGTTAAGCTGTTTTCCAAAACGATCAATGGAGAACAGACGTAGGAGAATTATTCTCGTTAGTAACTGGGCAGTCCCCTACCAACACGGTCGATGTACAGAATCGTAGGTTGTTCATATGGTACGATTTAATTTTTGTTGTAAAGACTTACTAGATTTAGTGGATAGTCATTCTTTGTAGAAAATGATGGGCATTGATCGCCAAGAAGATCATTGTAACTACACTGATGAAAATAACATAACAGCTCAAGCAATTTCTTAACTATTCAAAATATTTAGGCATTTGAATGTTAATAAGGAATGCTGATGTAGAAAAAAATAAATAAAAACAAAACTCTGCCCTTTGGACATCTCAGAGAAAGCTACGTATCACAATTAATGCAGCTGCAAGCGTCCCAACGAAACTGAACACCTGACCGATCCCTCAAAATGGATTCGTAACCATGTTCACCTACGCTTCACAGGTAATGCAGCAACAACCTCAGCCAGTAGTTACTATACCCAGGTGCAAATTGCAATGTTTTGCTCAAGAAGAACAAAGTGCAATTTTCTTATTGGGGTCCTAATGACTATGCGATTGCTGATGTTTCACTAGATTTACCATGCGCTGAAATATAAAAACACACCATGTTGATAACTTGTAATAAATTAGCTAAAAACCGCTATATAAAAGTTTCAATCTGAGCCCTGAAAAATACATTAAGGGGCAAGGTCTTGACATTATGTACAGTAATTATAAACACTGACTCAGCATGCAACTCAACATGTTATTATTTCCATTAATAAGAAATAAATAAAAAAATTATAAAAAAACTGTGAGAACTATTTAAAGTTTACTTGTAGTAACAAGTCAACTAATTTTGTAAACACAAAGGCTGCTTTGATCAAGGAACTTCAAGGCATGTTAAAGCACTGTCACTTAAATTGAAGGGTAAAATTTGGCAACATCAATGCATGTGCGCTGAGATGCTGTTGTGCATCTTGTTAACAAGCCCTGAAGGTACTAGCACGACTGCTCTAGTCAACATTTAGCACAAACTTCAATGCATTGATTTTGTCCAATTTCACAATTATAGAGTCAACTTTAAATGTACTGAGTTTATGATCTTATCGTGGTGAAAACATGAGAACTCAACATGGTGCTTTACATTGTACATGTATTTTACTGGTGTATTTAATACTGTCTACCAATTTCATGTACAAAGTAAACTACCAGTTTGTGAAAATGCACAGACTCATTTGTTCACATTTATATTATTTATATCAAGCTTTGATATGAATGTAAACAAAAGAGCCTGTGCATTTTATCAAACAGTTGACTTGCAAAATTACAATGAGAAATCAAAATCTAAATGTTGCATTTAATATTATTGCAAGTGATCCACTTTTGGGGAACTATTGAAATAAATTCAAAACGTGGAAAATTACAAATTTATTTTTCACTTTTGCATTCTTCATATTGAAATCAATTTCTTCTTGAACATGAAAGGTCCAACACAGTGTTACTTCAAATATTTCAGTCGTAATCACATTGAATGCAACATCACGAATAACATCTACAAGTTTGTTTACAAACAAACGAGAATAATTGGTACCATTTCACATTTTTGTGAGACGGGAGCTTTTCATTTGTATCACTAGATGCGACGAAGTTTGCATTACTAAACATTCGTTTTACTGCTATAAATCGTTCTATTTTGGCTTACCCGACTGAGATTCCTTGGAAAGAAGTATTTCTTTTGTATAATCTGCTTCCATTTCATCAGAAGCTTGGCAGACTCTGTTTTTTTCCGTTTGGATACCGGTGCATTTGGTAAGGTTGCCTCCCGGGGAGTGCTATATGTATATGTGCTGCCAAAAGGGGTCCCAAATTTTGTCTGAAAAGGGGTATGTTATTTTACCCTGTCTGTATCTTTTTGTCATTATTTTTGTCTGACAAGAGAACCATATTTTCCAAAGACTGACTTTAGACCTTGAGTGATCCAACAATCAGGAAAATTAAGCTGATTTTTTCCTTTTGTAACTTCATTTCGGTCGTCAAATTATATCCTCGGGAGTTTATCTAGGTAAATAAAAATAGCTGACCACCCACGCCCATTTCCCGGAATAAATAAACATGAAACGGATATCGATCCTCTGATTCGCTTTTTACCATTTATGGTACTGTCTGGAAAGGGGTGTCAAATATCCACAGTTTGTCTGAAAAGGGGTAGGCAATTTGAGTTTATTTCTGTCTGATAAGGGGTAGGCGTTTCAAACAACCAGCTACACACTCCTGTCAGTATTTTTGCAAGTAGGCGCTCCCGGGGGTTGCCTACATTCGCACTCATCATGTGTCTTTGGTGAATGGATTTCGCACGTAGTTTGTTTCCATTTTTTAAAATTTTTTATCGTTGTTTGTTCGTGTATCCTAGAAACTTACAGTTTTTTTCTGACCCTCCCATGATCATAAAAACATTGAAACTATAACACTAGTTAAAATTATGGTATAAAATTTTGATCAAAACAATATTACACTGACGAAAGATTTCCACTCGATTATCGATACACGTTGCCCCCGGTAATGGCGGCCGTGAGCGCGCCGCCTACGGCGAAGGGGTAATTCATCTGCTTCTCGGATTCGTCTATTCTCGATTCAAACGCTAATAGCAGCCATGACGAATAAAGTTGTCAGCGGACAACAAACGCTGGATACAGGTCACGTTCAACGAGATTAATATGGGCATTGAGCTAAATATATGTAAGGGGTTAAATCGACAAAATGTTTAAACCACAAAAAAGTACATTAAACAATATTTCAAATGAAATAAATTAAATAATAATAATAATAATATAATTATATTACGTAAAATTGTGATAAGATTGGCTTGGTACGAATTAAACCAGTTCACCTTTCACAGAACGTAATAGTATCGAATAGTAGTAATATTTTAGTTACTAAAATTTTAATATTTATGTCTGAATCTCCGGAATCTGAGAACCCCGTTTTTCGTTTTGTTTCATGCCTTTCTTATTTTTCTTACACATAAATGCAATATAAATTCTGTTCGCTCGAGATATTCGGCACGACGACAAATTTTAGTTATTGTATGTTCTCGCGTTACGGATGAGGGAGTACGAGATTTCAGTGATCCAGGGACTTTGTATTTATGCTGGTATCACCTTTAATTTTAACAGAAACCGGATTTTTCTAGCCACAATAACATTTTTATTATTTTGAACATATTTTTGGTGGACCAATGCTATATATGCTACCCATTGTCCAATAGTTCATTGTATTTGTGACGAAATTTCTTGACACAGCTCAAGGTGAAGTACATTGTACTGGTAAGCCGTGTTTAACTGTTATTACTGTTTATTACTGTGCATAGTATATACTGCGGTCATCGCGTACCACTTACTTCATACCTATTGAATTATGGCACGATTCCAGACGAGCCGCGATATTTTACTACTACTAACACTTATGTGTGTGTTATTGGGAAGTGTTTCTTGCCACAAAGTTCTGATTCTTCCGGGAAACTCCGTTGGAAGTCACTTTCTATACTTTGCTAAACTCGGTGAGCATTTGAAGAACAAAGGTCACGATGTCACAATGCTGTTAGGAGAAAACAACAACGACCTGAACAAAATACCTCACATTGTAGACAATTTTCACTTTGAGAAATATACCACTGCCATGGACAACAAACGTATGACCAAGCTGGACAAGATGCTCCCAAAATTTCTAAATGGACAGTTTAATCCCATGGATGTTATGTTCATAAATAATGCGTTAGTAGAAGATTGTGTGTTACTGCTCGAAAACCAGGAACTGTTTCAACGCTTAAAGAGAAAAGAGTTTGATATCATACTTATCGACAACTTTGCTGCATGTACAATCCTTATGTCACAAAAACTAGATCTACCGTTTGTCATTGTATCCACCAATCGACCGATGACAATGATGGATGCATATTATCTCAATATGCCGAGCCCCATATCATATGTCCCATCAATGAT